TTCAGGGAAATGGAGCAAATTGCATTTTCTTCAACATGAGCACAAGCATCACACTGAGATCCATTCAGAGGTGTTTATGCTAAACATTTAAAGGTTAATCTACATTTGAAGCTTTTTATATACCCATATCTAAATAAATTAGTTAATTATTTAAAAGCCAAACATCAAAAAATTGTAATAATGGAAAAGGTGTCCAAGCAGATCCTTAACAAAAGTAATCAGAAGTTTTTAAAATGCAGAAAATCAGTTGAATGAGAAAAATTTTCTCACAAACTTTGGACAATATAAAAAGCTGTGCATATTTATTTACAAAGAAAATTAGATAAACATTTCTACTGCCTAAATTCAACTGAATAGGTACTAGTGAAATATATTACTACTACTTTCCAGCAGTAGTACTTTATATGAAAAATATAGATAAGTGCTGTTAGTTATCTTACCTCCCCATACAAGTCTTACAGATGTGACAGATTTATTGTGCCATATGTTTTTTTCCTGTAATTAAAATACTTTCCAGCCATTCTTGAATATACTACTGTATTCTACTTAAATTCTGATTCTTGTAACCTTTAGCTGGATGAAACAATGCACTATAGGGCAAAACGTTTTCAACCAAGGTATCTTAAGTGGGCTAACTTACAGAATGCATCTAAAATCAAGGACCTGTGAATTGAAATGTGACTCCTGTGCAGGGGTGGGATACTACAGGGTTAACTACCTGTTGGGGATTTATGAACTTCCCTGCCCCCCCCCAGCTGTCATTAGAAGCATCCTTTGAAACAGCCCTCATTTCTTGTTTTTTTTAACTGCAGCTGTACATCAGTTCGGCAGCTGAAGTTGAAAAATCAGGAAATAAAGATCAGGTAAGAGCCCAGGTGGGCAGGTGAGCAAAAACATCAGCAGACATAGAACCGGTTCTATGTCTGCTGCTCTTCAGAGCTACCGGTTCTACAGAGGTGAACAGAACCGGTAGAAACCCACCCCTGCTCTTGTGGATTGAAATTTGACAAACTTTATAACACATTTTATGATATAAAATGATAAAACTTTATGATATAAAGATATACAAAATTATTTTGTACTATGTCACATTTCCTGTGCTAATGTTTGACTGTGCTATACTGTTCAGCATGGGCTAGTTTCAAGGCAGATACATTTCTCAATGTATCCTGGCTTTTCAGTGAAGGCTATACTTTAGAAGCCATTACAAGCTCTGTCACTGCTGAAACCATGGGGTCCTTGGTGGTCTTCTTGCAGATGTTTTATTACTGAACTAGGTAATATCATCAGTGCTAACACTAATGATGAGCACTGATTAGCCCTGATGATGTTATCTAGCTTAGTTAATGAAACATCTACAAGAAAACCACCAAGCACAGAGAGCACAAAGGGCCCCACCGTTTAATCTTGAGCTATAAAAATTCTCACCATTGGACGTATTGAGGAATCTGGTAAGGAAATATCTGGTAAGGGGTCATCAATTGTTTTATGAAAAACTATTCTTAATGAAATTTATTGCCCCATTGCCAATCCCTATCCTGCATCTAAAGACCAGAATTGTGCAGGCAAGTTTTCCTCATGACACTGTATGAAGTAGAAATTTGATTTTAAAGAAGCAGAATTGAAATTCTGCTTTTTCAAAGTCAAATTTGACACCTATGAACTCTGACACTAGAAAATACTTCTGAGAATAACGTGGACAGCCAAGAAAACAAACAAAAGGATCATCAAGTAATTCAATCCAGAATTTTAATTTGAGGCATAAATACCCAGGATCAAATTACCATACTTTGGACACATTATGCAAAGATCTTCTTTCTACGGAACCCTATAATGCTGAGAAAGGTGGGTGGGTGGGGAATGAAGAGGTTAACCAGCCACAAGTCAGGTGCCTTCAGTCACAGTGGTGATGGATGAACCACTGGACCAGCTAAAGCACTATATAAGGATCAGACCCTCCTGGAGAAAATCTATTTATGTGGTCACTAAGAGCCGATTAGATTACAGGGCATGTAATCAATTGTCCCTATATTTCCAGGCATTGCCAATCACCTAACTTACTTTTTTCACCCAAAGCACAGCTAATTTTCCACACCTTTGAAGCTGACTTCAGATCTGGCAAAAAGGATTTAACTCCTACCTAGTTAAGACACCATCAATCAAACTTCTCAACCGAGGATACAAACAAAAATAAATCGCAGGCGGAAAAAGAAGATCGCTGGGACTCACGGGAGCAAGCCCTGGCGTCCATCAAAGGGCACGGCTATAGACGTACCCACCTCCTCTAGCCGGCGCCGCAGCCTCTCGCGCTTCTTGCGAAGCCGCTCCAGATCCCGCACCATCTCTTGACATCCAGACAGAAGCATCGCCTCGTCGGCGCTCCGGTCGGCCGCCGGTTTGCGCAGGATTCGGGACACCTGGTCGAACGAGGGAAAGAGAGAGGAAGGGAAAGGGGGCGTGTTGCCCAAGCCGGCGCCTCGAGAAGCGCCGCCCCGCCTTGATTTCTGGCCACCCGGCACTACCTGCCTCCGTCGCTCCCGCTGCTCTTCTTGACGGAGGAATTCTACGCGAGCGGCCGCTTTCCGCTCCGAGCGACTCAAACTTCGACCGGCCGCCATCCCCTGACTAGTTTCCGGGTTTTTAATCGGCCGGAGAGGAGGGTTCGGCCACTTCCGCTTCCGGCAATGGACGACGCTCGGCGGTGACTGCTTGTTGCCCTGGGGACGCCAAATGATGTTCGCTGCTGTTGCCAGGCTCTTCGTTAGGTCACAGGCTCTACCAGCTACTTCCGGTTGGACTTCTCCTCCTATGAAGACAAGAGTGCCGTCTCTATTACTCCATAGAGAATAGGGTCGAATTCCTGCTCTCTGCTTGCTTGGGAAAGTGCGCTCTCTTTCGGATTGGATGTTTAAAAACGATGCTGCTGTGTACGATACTTACGCTGCTCCGGCCCCGCCTTCTCCGACCCCCCCTCCGCTCCCCGTGGTGGCTGCGTGTGAAATTCTATCGTGTGGAATCTGTCGTGTTTTTTTCCGCCTCAAAGCAAATTCCATTATGTGCAATCCAATCCTTTCAAGCGCAAAGTCTTCTGTGACGATGCTTATTTTGGTTAGCTTATTCCCGTAACCAGGAACTATAGTCTACTGCTGAACGTTACATGGGAATATAACGGGAAATGGATTGCTCAACGGCATTTAACCCTCTTATTGGAGGATGCGAATTAAACATTCTGTTGGTCTTATTTGAGTAAGAAAAAATGGAATAGCTTTTTTCCCTTTCCAAATCCAGCGGCCAAAGCCAACCATATCACCTTATTTAATGTATTAAAAATTACAATGGGAAATTTGGCAGAGTGAAGAAAGGCCTCATATTAGGGAAAAGTTTAAAAATACTGTTCTCTTGGGCCTCCTAGGTTCTGCATAAGCTTTCATCAACCACTCCATTTTTAGTGTTGTGAACTATTATGCAAAAGCTTGTAATTTAGTGTTTAAAGGACCTGGACATTTTGCTTCTTTTATCGCTGCATACTGCCATTCTCTTGGACTTGTTACATGAAAGCTAAAGCTCTTGCAGCAACAAGTTAACCTACTATTGATTGTATTAGGCAAAAAAAGTGCACATTTTTTGAAGTAAGCTTGCCAATGGCCATGTTTGCACAACTTACTGAACCACAAAGTAGTCATCTGCATTTTAGCTTTATCATAGCACTTTGCTTTAGGGTGTTGGTTTGGGTTGTGTTAAATGTCACGTGAATCCAGCAAATTGGGTTGAATGAACCATGCCTAAATAGGTCATGTAAATGCACCCATTTTTAAATGCTTACTACTATTTGCTCTTTTGTTAGAGGTATGTGCTTCCCATACTAGAGATCCAGATAATATCCAGATTCCTTTTTCTTCATCATGTTAGGCTAATGTGATCTGTAGAGAACAAAACATTTTTACTACCAGAAATGGACAGAGGTTTTTATAATTTTGTTTTTACATTGCTTCAGATGCCCTTATGATGCATTATTTTTGACATAAAATCATTCAGTGCTATTTGTCACACTATCTTAGACTAGACCTTGTCTAGTTAAGCGTTGAAAGAGAAATCTGAAACTTCAGCACAGAAACATTTCTTATATTTGTTTTTGTAATTATAGGTTTCTTTCAAACAACAAAGTTGAAGAGAATCATCAACAATGCTAGATATAGGCACTGCTAAGAAATATACAATTAAGAAAAATTAGATCACTACCTATAATTATGCTTATCAAGGATTTAAGAATAAAGTGTTCACTTTATTCTTAAATCCTATATTAGCCCAACTCCAGCACATACCACAGTATCCTGAATAATAGTGTTGTTTTAATATGAGTGAATTTTTAAAAAGATGCTATACAAAATCTAAACTGGCTACCTTATCTGAGCTGCAGAAATCTAGTTAATTAGATGGCAGCAAATAGCTATCTTTGTTGTTTAGTGGTCATCTGGATTATTACAACCCAGATGTGTCAGTCCTAGTTAAAGAGCACAAGCCCAGAGATTTGCATATTTATATGCATTATTTCAAGCTTTAAAATTTTTAAAGTACAGAAATAATCCAAAGACAGGGAGATTTATGTCAAGGACAGTAACCTGATTTCACTAGAAAGCAATATGTGGTTTTCCCGTACTACAGCAGATAAAGACCAATGAATATGCTATTTGAATAAGTATATTTATCCACCACAAAATATTGAATATAACTTATTCATTCTTGGAGGAAAGGGATGTTGAATAAAAATAAAACCCTGAAGCAAATAATCTGGACGGTTTATAATAAAACAATCTCACCAATGTTTTGAGCTGGAAAGAATTCCTAGGAAATTTCCAAATCCAAACAGGAGACTAACTTGACTTTTCAAGCAGCAAGGAGCAGATTAGGTACACAATGCATGCAAACAGTTCAAAGTTCTTGTCAGCAACAGAGAACAAGTTTAGCAACCCAAACCTGCTCAGTGATATCATAGGGGCCAGCCTCTTTAAAGATGTTTATTGGTCATATACAAAATAAAGAATGCTTCATATCAACATACACTATATACATAAATAAATTAACAACACCTCCACTGGGGCTGTGGCAACAAATCCCCAACAGTTATCTACAGATTGAAAAAGGACAATAATTTAGCAATAAATACTGATTAATTACTTGGGTTTCGACTGTTGTACAGGAGAGACCCAGAACATGACAGTATGCTTTTACACCCCTAACATATAGAATTCATCTCCAGTTGTATTAGCTTTGGAGACTGAATTTCTTATTATCAAAATGTTCCTCCCCAACCTTTTAAACAAACATTTTAAAGCAGTAGTGAAGTCATTTCCATTAATATTTTTAAGGACTATCTTCAACATTTAGAGAGTGGGGAGGAACAGTCCATCAGTTCAATTAAGTACACCAAGTATAATTTAGTTTCTCCATAATATTCCAGTTTGACAAAGGATGTAATAAATTCAGAGCAAACCGCAGGTGAGGACAAGGACAAGTCGCACTTGAAATGGCACGGGAATCCCAAACACCTTTGCATAGCCAGATAGTGACGTATCTTTATTGGGAATCAGGAGACTATTCACTCAACTGTGCAGTGCCTCTCATTCCTGCAAGTGTCAGCTGCAAGCATCTAGAGCTCACATATACTGTATATCAGACCTGGAAGGGGGAAAAGTCCTCACTACTTGGAAGAACCTCCCTGAAGCTCACAGCTAGACCATTGTGTGATCCTTTTGGTATAGGGAGGAACAATCCTTTGTATGAGCAGTCACAGCTGTTCACCTGTTATATTACAGGAAACAGCAGCAGTGCTATTAAACCAGAAAGGAAGATTCCTGCATGTTAATTATTTTACTAACAAAATACAGTTTGAGATATCAGAAAGAGGTGAAAGGCAAGTTGTCAGAAAGTGCTTCTATCTTCACTGGCACAGAAGACAAGGGGTACCACTGGAACACACTACTAGTCCAAGTGAAAGTAATATATAGATATGCCAGCTCTGCTTACTGCTAGATTATAGTGAAATGCTATCTATCCTACTTCACTGGGATGTGCCAGTGTACAGCAGATGCAAAAACTTGATCAATGACACAAGGAACAACAAATGTTGAATGTCTTCTATGCACAGTACGTCATTCCCTCCTGCTCCTGCATCTATTTCATCCAGGAACATATTCCACAAGGACCTAACATCTGAGTAGCCTATACCCATTGCTAACCATCACATTCCTCAGTTCTTAACCTGCAGTTTTTCTTGATTTTTTCTGGAAAGAAAAAGTTGTTTCATTATCCAAAATATCACTTTTACATAATTCACCACGACATAAAACAACCCTACCTTTCCCACCCACCCAAAGCCAGCCACATGAGGGCGGAATTCTACTTCACAGAGCTGTTCTGCATCCAGGTAGAAAGCAACACTCCCCACCTGTTGCATCAAGCAAAATGCCCCATTCAAAACAAAACAACAAAACGAAAACACACTTCACAGCAGGAAAACCAAACAGTCACCTATAAAACAAGAACCATCACACTCTGAATGCTATATACCAGAAAACAAATTGAGGGGCAAGAGCTTGAAAGGGGAATCTAGGACAGAAAAAACACTAGGAGACAGACTGAGAGTGAAGGAAGCTGGGAGGTATGAAGGGTTCCCTTGTCTTCTCCCCAACCTCCAGTTGGAAGATTTACCACTGAGTTCTGGAGCCAGATTGTTCAATAAATATCCACTTACTTATAAGAATGTCTTGCGACCCACTCAGATGAAGATACCATCTCGCTGATCTAGCGTGGAAAAGGGCAAAAGGTGCATCTTTAGAGGGAAAGACTGAGTCTTGTGGCACATTAAAGACAAGCAAATATATTATGGCATAGATTTATGTGGACAAGTCAACTTCAATAGATGAAGTATTATCCCAAATTGGCCAATTAATACTATAAATAGGTTGTTTATGGAAAAAAATTACTGTAGGAAGAATAGTCAAAATCTAACAGCAAGAAATATAGATTGCACTTCAAATATATTTAATGTTTTAGTGACCACTAAAAGACTAATGCAGATAATATACCTTGTAATGTTTGTTACCAACTGTGCAGAAAATGGAAACTATAGTATTAATGTATGTGTGCGTGTATACAATTTAATAAAATTATTAGCCTGTACTTTTTTATATTTAAAATGTGTCTAGATAGTTGTATTTATACACATATATCAGAGCCAATTTAATATCATCTCATGGATCTGACGAAGTAAATTCTAATCCACAAAAGATGATGTAATAGTTTTTAAAGTGCCAGAACACTATTAGTTTGCTACAAAAAAAAACAACCTAGCCACTCTTGCAAAATCCTTGAGGACAGACTTTCTTTATCAGAGGCTTCTCATGGCATCCAGAATCTCCATCGTAAAACAAACAACCCAGGAAGAAGCATCGAAAGAAATTTATTTAGCCAATTCTAAGGAGTAAAGACTGCCAATCCAGAAATGTCTAGGACAGAGGTGTCAAACTCAAGGGCTGTGGGTCAGATGAGTCATGTGCTGGCCATGCCCATTCCTGGTTTAGCTAAGAGGAAAAAAGCTGTAATATATCACATGATGCCACTGTGACGATGTGAGTTTGACACCCCTGGTCTAGGATGATATAGGATGAACTGAAGGGATCTGAAACTATTCATCTGGCTGAAAACAAATTCCTATTTCAGAAATGCACTCCAACACAGAACTGTATTTTAACAGCATGGAACTATCACCAATGTCTTCACCTTGCTTTCCTTGGGGCAATGTGCAAATATGGCACAGAGAAGCATGCCAAACGATGGAGAGGCAAATTCTTGAATTAAAATAGCAGGCAGCTCAGATATAAGAGTTGTTTCCTCATACATACATCCAGGTGACATAAATGCCTTTCATGCAACTCTCAAAGGAAGCTATGACCAGGAGACCTAAAAGTTCAATCCAGAACCCACCTCTTGTTTATAAATTTGATGGTGAGAAAGTCCCAATTACACATTTTCATTTGCATGTTTGACATGAAAGCATGAACATTGCTTATTTTGATTACAATTGTTTGGTTTTCACAGAATTTGGACTTCTTTGGCAAGGACTAGAAAGTGGAAGGCAACGAATGGAAGAAATTTTCTACAGCTTAGGATGGAGAGAAAGATGCAAGGAGGTAGAGTGATATGGAACACTTAGACATAGGAAATTTCTGGCTCTATTAATTCAGCACAGATCTGCGCTGGTTTCTAAGACTTTCAAATTAGCAGTGATAAAACATATTCCAAGAGGAATTATCAGTTTTTAGTAACCTCAACACAGTTCAGAGCAATTTATTTCACACAGGTATAGTTTTTAAGATCCAAAACCTAAATGACTTAGTAAGACAATATTTAGTAATAACTGTATGCAGCAACCTGTGGATCCATTCCTTTTAAATCTAAAATAAAAAGTAACAACTAATATGGCAATGGTGATTTCTGGGTAGAATCTGGAGCCAGGGGAAGTGCATGTTCACATTAAAATATGGTTCCTTATTTTTCTCTTTCTCTGAAGTTTGCTGTTCTTAGTGCCTATGTATCCCCCAGCCGTATTTTGCACATATGCCAAGAATAGCACAAAAAACAACAATTAAAAACACCTCCAATCTACTGTGTCAAAAGAGCAGCTGAGATACTGTAAAGAACTAGTGCCCCTCCCTCTATTTCAGGTGAATAGTCTGCAGAGGACCATGGTCTTACAATGAGAAAAAAGGGGGTTCCAGCAGATATGATGAAGACATTTTGAAGGTAAGTCCTCATTAAAAGCCTTTTCCCCTCCAGCATACTCTAGGCAACAAAACTTTGCCAGTTAATAGATATCAGAAATATCATTGCCAAGGAATGGATTCTCAGCTGATTTTTGTGAATAGTTGTTTCTGGACAGGAACTTGCCTTAGAGCTCATTTGAATGTATTAACCCTGCTTTAAAAGTTATTAAAGCTTCTTTTTCTTTCTAACTAGGAGGCCAGCATGTAGTTGAAAGTTTCTGAAAAGCCACAAGAGGTTTTTGAGCCCAGTCTCAGCTGTGGAAATTTCCAGAATTCACTACCTGTGTCATTAAAACAGGTTCTAGTATCTGTTAACTAGAAAATGGCCAAATATGGTGACCTCGAGTCTTCTGAATAGGCTAGTACTCAATGCTTACCAGATGTCAGTAATTGTGCTCATTCTGATTGCAATTTTCTGGGCAAAAGGTCAATTGCCCACCTAGACACAAACTCACATGGTCCTCTTGGTAACACACCCATCATTCCCTCCCTGTAGGCCAATTACAAGGCAAGCAATAGAGAAATAAAGCAACTTTCTTTGTAATGACTAGCTCTTTCAGAGAAACTAGATTAGGTTTCCCATAAGACTATGTAGCCAGAAGATAAAACAATGAATTTGAACTTCCCTGTGTCATGTTGACCATCACATGCTCTTTAGACCTTGTTGAGTTTCTGGCTTAGATCCTTAAGTAATGCTCAACATGCTAAAACATAGAAGGAAACAGGCAGGAGATAACAAAATCTCTGTAGTATTACCAACAAAAGTATCCTGCCATAATAGTGGATCTTCACAAATGCTACATACAGTCCAACTCTAGAAAACATATTTTGTGGACCCTTTGTATGATATGTTGTAAATTGTTTCATATTCCTACATTAACAGGAGTGATCCCTTCCAACACATTACTGTTGCAATTCTGGATTCAACCTTTAGGAACATCCAGCCCCCATTGTGGCAACTGCAATGGCAATTGCAATACAAGTGACATTACGTAATGCAACACTGTCTGCCAGCTATCATTAAGCAGTTTTGTTAACCTCTTAAAAGAACAGATTCTTTTCAGGCTTCAGATTCAGGTAATTTTTCTCAGGAGACAGAACCTTTGAGAAGGTCTACTGGCCCAAGAAAACCTGCACTCAGCCCTGGGAAAGCTGAACGAACAAATGCTCACAGGACACCCACACAGCAAAGTGGCCACCGGCACCATCACGTCACAGCGCCACAAAAGACCCCAGAGCACAGACAACTAAATACAACAGGAATACAAAAGAAGCAGATGGGGAATTCAAGAATAAGTCACTTTTGGTACAATTGCAAAAAGATATCAAACAGGACTAGCCTCTTTTTTGTTTTTGTTTTTCCTATGTTATTTATAAATTAATGTCTAATAACTCTTTATAAAAACCAACCTCAGAGCCACAAAGACTTAACGAGAAACTTTTAAAATTTGCATTTTCTGTCTCCAAGAATATGACAATCATATATTCTCACCTTCTCAGGCTAAAAGGAGACTGTTAAATAGAAGTGCTTCACCAAATTGTAGATTTGAAACTTAGATCATTTAATAACTCTTTAAATGAATGCTTCTCTTTTAAATAAAGGGTATTTAAACTACATAAACTAGTTGTGTAAACCATCACACTAGAGACACTGGATACTCTCCAAACACAGAAAACAACTAGTGATTTTGGTCTTGTTCAGTGCAACACACATTAGGCGCAAAACTGGCCTGTAGTCACTGCAATGTAACCCACTTCCTCTGGTAGGTAGATACAACAGTGTTCATTCCTGGCTACTTTCCTTCCTCTGCAGCACAGACACCAGGAAATAGCTATTTCCCCACTTCCCTCTCCTTCAGGAAAAGTCCTAAGGAATCCCATCTTCAAACCTCAAACGTGCAACAAGATGGTAATATAAAAATGGTCACACAAACTACGCCCCCCCATACCAAGCAATTTACAAGCAGCAGACTGGACAGCTGACTCAACCCTGGAAGAACAGTATTGAAGTCATCACTGACAGTAGGTCTTCCAACTCTCTATGACCTCTTCCCTCCCCTTTGGGTTATTCCTACCCAAGAATGGATTCCATGCTGCTGAAAATCTCTTTGGCAAGAGTACCGAGGTCCTTCAGCTTCCGTTTTCAGAACACACTAGGTGGACGGTTCTGTTCACAATGGAAAGGTTGTGTTACCATCAGTCACACCACCAACCAGAACAAGCTAAAAACAAAGCAACTGCAGTGACAAGCAGGCCAGCCGTGTGCCTGTGTGGGCTAGGCCATCTGGGAGAGGGTTGTGCTTTGGGGATTCCGGATGAGCTTTGTGCCTAACTGCCCTGCACAGACAAGCCCAGGCAGTGCTCGTTTCACTAAGACCGGGCGTCCGTTTTGGATTTAACTATTGTGATAACGCTGGTGGTGGCAACTTTGCCGGGAACAAGGGGCCCCATGCTGGAAGCAAGTGGACCCCGGGCAGGGGTGACAGGGCTCCGGGCAACGGTCCGGGCGAAGTTCTGCAGTGCCTCGTACTTGGAGCGCAGGGCATCAAGTTCCATTTTCATGCTAGCGTTCTCTGAAGCCAGCTTCTCCACTTCCTGCTGAAGTTCTGCCTTCTGTTTCTCCAACTCTTCCTTCTGTGTTACCCTCTTGACCCGGCAGCTGGCAGCATAGCCTCTGTTCTTCAGGGTCCGCCGGCGTTGCTTGAGTTGGATTATCTCTTCCTTGGATAAGCCCCGCAGATGCTGGTTCAACTCCCGTACAGACATGGTCACCAGCTCTTCATCTGTCAAGCTGGTCCCATTCTCCCCTGGCTCCCGCTTCACCTGCAGAGACCGTAGAAACATGCTTTAGTGGGATTCTGGTTGCATGCATGGCCAGCTAACCCCAAGCCTTGCCTTATTACCTTCAAGGCTTTGTTTCCTTTGTTGGGGGTCGTCATAACACGCAAGCCTTCACAATCAGATTCTGTAAGATAGAAAATGGGTAGATGTTACCAGTCAAGTTCTACATCATTCAAAAGCAGCTATATATATCCAGACTAGGCAGGAAAGGAAGCACCAAATACAGGTGTTCGCTACACAGCATGAACCAACAGTGGGATTTACATGAGCTGTTGACAAACTCTGCCCAGTCTCTGCCAACCCCACAGCTTTCTATAAATCTTAAGAGCAAATGCCCACGGAAAGGGAGATTTGGAAGTTTGGGAGGAGCTGGAGTAGGATGAAACCACATTTAAAAATAGCCTGGCAGCCAGGGTCCTGCATGGCTGTGCTGAGCTAGTCATGCTGACTCAGCATATTAGCAGCCTTGCTCACAGTGCACGCCTTATACTAGAGTGCAGCCTAGCAAGAGAGCTGCAGTCTAAGAGAGTTGCCAAGGAATTACCCTTATAGCCTTCTCTTGACGGGGTTCAAAGCAACACTATATCCCCATAGTTGTAAGGGAGAATATTTAAGAATACTCCCTATTTAAAAAAAGATGTAAATTAATTAATCCATTCTGCCTGAATCATTTCTTTATCTAAAAAACAGAAGAGCAAGACTAGAGGATGGAAGGAAAGGACAGACAAGGGAATAATGGGAAACATGCAGAACCTTAGAGAATTACCTGTCTCCAGGTTACTATATATACTATATACTATAACTGAATAGTCATTACTGAACACAAATCTATTCTTGTGGATCTGATAACCTGTCTTCTTTTGACTAGCTTTTCCCATGCATGTTAATAGAAGAACAGTGGTAGGTACACAAAGTTGGAGGGGAAAACAAATTCATCTGGGTGGGATTCTGACTAGCATACAGAAATTAAATATTTCCATTTATTTCCCTGTCCAGTTGCTTCCTTTCACGTAGCCATTTTACTAACAGGACTAAAAATAACTTGATACAGCAATTTTTTTAGAGATGCAGATAAAAATCATCCCCATTCTTATGAAATCACCTATTCACTTACTGCAGGGGTGTCAAACTGGCGACACTTGGGCGGATGCGTCACATGACCACCCCAGCTCCGCGAATGGGAAAAACATTGCGGAGCATCACATGACAGCAATGTGTCGCGGTGAATTTGACACTCATGATGACTTATATTCATGTTGCATTGTTCTAAATTTCCAGATAATTCATTGTTTAGGAAATAAACTTACTGTTTATTTCAAAAATTCTTCCAAAAGTAGAAAATTTAAAGAAGTTTTAAAATTATGAGAATGAGGCTTCCTCATTTATGCTTTTAACATATATCATATAGGGCTTGGATGGAGGCAACTGAAATTATAATATCAATATTCAGAAGAAATAAAGTTCTCTGAGATAACACAGACATTTGCTAGCAACTTTACATTACCTGAATACACACTGATCTGTATTAATAATTTACATTAATGAAACCACTCCTTAAATTCACAAGAGCTCTTAGACACACATACATAGAAAGAAATCTTGTCACTCACTGTGGCTGTCTTGAGTAAACCAAAACTACCCACCAGTTTTCTAAACAGAGGAAATCAAATACTTCTATTTTGTTCTCAACATTCAACCTGCAACGATGTGTAAGAATAGTTACTTTCTCTTAAAGAAGGCCTCATAGCTCCCCCAAACCATTGAAGCAGATGTTGTAAATTACTTTTACTGCCTTTAATCACTCCTCTGGAACAGCTCAGAAGCCTCAATAATTGCTCCCTACACCCCTAAAAAAAGATGCTTTTTAAGGAAGAAAAAAAAATGGCCAGAGGTATCTCAAGCATAGAAAAGTCACCATGCATAAGGATTTGTATGTTTATCTTTCACTCGTGTGCCTCCACACATGGCTGCACCTGGCTAACCATATCTGTGCTCATAGCTATGCAGGGTCTGGGCTCATGTGGGAGACCATCACAGCATTTCAGGGCTCTGGGGCTAGACACCAAGCCAAAAGACATCTCAGGCAATAATAAACCACCTCCATAGCAAAACTGCATGGATGAGGATTACCTTTTACTCGCCCAAGCATATCATCAGTATTTACATAATGCCTCTTCCACACCGACTAGGTTCTTGTTTGCTGAATGTATAAAACATCAGTTCACATTTATAGCAAAGAACCAAGACAAGCTAGTGTCAGCAAAAGCAAAAAATGGTCCCCCAGCAGCACCCCAGAAGGGATGGCTTCAGCGCTTTCCAAGATCACTAATAAGCCAGCCAAACAACTCAGATACTCCTACAGCACTGAAAATTGCTGACAAGTCAAATTCTTGTGCCCCAAAGACATGGCTAAAGTCCCTGATTACAGCTCTAATATAGCGGGCCACAACTGTCTTAATGGGACCCCGTTGCCTTATTTTTGCTTCTGCAGCTAAGAAACTTATTAATTGTACAGTAAGGCACGTACTGTACAGCTTACTGTGCTTTACCATCAAAATGTTTTAGACCCACAATTTGGGAATCAGTACCTCAAGTATGTGGGTAACATAGACAGTAACCAGTAGCCATGTTTTCCGGTTAGAAAAAAATTACAAGAGGAATAATGTTTCCATTACTGTAATACTGCTTGAAATATTGTTTAAGTAAACACTGGGGCAGACACAACTATCGCATATGCACTAATTTTGTTTATTTATTTTTTTAATTTTCCAGCTTTGTTTAAAAGCCACATGCAGCCATAGGAACCAGGAAGAAAACTGTAAACAAAGCAAGGGGAAGTCATCTATTCATTGTCAAGTCTAGCCTACACTTCTTTCCTATGTAAGTTTTATCTAGACATGTTAGTGTCAAGTATCATTACTAACACTCATGTGAGAGGAATATGAACACAGGCAACATAACAAAACTGCATAACCAAAAATGGATTTGGTATCATACTGTAAATCCAGTACAGATCAGAACCTTAAGAATCACTATGCTAGCATTAGTGACAATCAATAAAAAATCCCAAGGCAATGTTGCCTAGTAGGAAAGTATACACAAGATTAACTGCCTGGATAATTTAGTGAGGCTCTTCATGGGGAAAGTACTGCACTTTGGTAGATATCAGGATTAATACTTAGGAAAACAATTAACATGTGGGAAGTGAGAAGATTGCACAGAAGGACTGAAAATTGACTGGAGCTGATCTTCACTGTTAAAAGTGATTGGCATAGATTGCTGTGTAGCAAAGATGAAATATTAGGTTCAGCAGCTCTGAGAGTCAAACACAAAAAATTTTTTCATTTGTCCTAAACTTCTAAAGATTAAGAATCTTTTAATACAAGGAGTATAACATTAGTTATCAATATCAGATATCATATAGATTCAATCATAGAAAGATTCATTTCCATTCATTATTCATAAAAAAAGAAAAACAGCAAGGAAAGTGATGATTACGTGGAAAAAAAACCTATGAAAATTTTCACATTCTGCATTATCCCTGAATTAGGATATATATATATATATACACAAGGTCTTTTTACAGCCTTACACAGAAGCTGCACTTGTGAATAACTTGCAAGGAGGACAGCCAGAGAGAATTGGCATCCAGACAAACTTGGTCTAACTCCCTAGACTGCTTGCTGATTTCTCAGCTTTTTGACAGCTTCCCGAAGAAAGATCACACTGAAAAGTGCCAAGTGCGACGGCTGTAAAGGAAAAAAAGTGCAACCTCAACACATTTTGCCAGAAGTCCAAAAGGCCTGCACTCAGCACAAGTGCCGCCAACTCTTTGCTTACAACAGAGCTGACAGCAGAGTGCATGATTCAACACAGGCCCCATTCTCAACATTCCTGGTTCAGTGCGCTATGCCATCAAATGAGTGTAAACACAATGACATCACCCATTCCAGCAGTAAAGGCAGCACTATCACAGAAAGGAAAAAAAAACTTTTAAGAGATGAAAAAGAAAACAGGCGACAGGGAAGAATCAGAAGCTGGAGGGTATACCCATGTAGGAGGTTTTTCCACATGCGTAGTGTAAAAAGAAATGTTGACACTATCTTGTTCTCATCTACACATATATGGCTCTGCTGTTCATACATTTACAGAAACCTGTCTACAAATAACTTCCCAATTAGCTTCCTAAACTTACATTGACATTTTAGGTAGTGCTCCTTAAACTGGGCAAAAGAATGTAGAAGAAAATGCTTGTCCTTTAAAATATCCAGAAAAATGCCACCACTAGGGAATTCAAATCAACACAACTTGCCTCAGGCAAAGTCTCCCAAATGTACCTAATGTTTCAACTTGCTTTCTACCACTGTACCTCTTACTCAGCAGAATGGAAATCAAATTCTACTTTTCCTACATACGTATCTAGAAGACTGTCAGCCTCATACCATTCCTATAATTGAAACTCATTTTTATATCAAAAACAAAGCTCCCTGCATACTTCTGTTTCTGAATAAATCAGAGTTTGATTTCCGTGAGCCACAAGTCACACAAGGAATTGCAATTCTGTAAATAGTCAATGCTCATTGAGTTAGTCAAATAATTTCAGCACTTATGTCTTCTGGCCTATTTATCTCCAATTTGAGATAATGAAGAAATAGTGAGAGGCATTTCAATTTTAAAATTATGTCCACCTAATTATCTTTGTTCTATATCATATATGACTGGCTTATAATATCCTAACTATTCATTTTTCTCAAAATAGATGTATCAGAAAAAAATTAATTTTATTTTAGAATCACAAGAAAAAAAAATCTGGGTTGAAAAGATATCAGACTAAAATGGCTAGCACTTTTACCTGCAGTACATTTATGGATAATTAGTATGCCTTCACTGTTCAAATTTATTTATATTCCCATTAATATCTAAGCATTATCAGACTGACAGAGGACAAACTGCCCTCTGTAGGTGAGAATGGAAGAGCTCCACTGTGAGAATTTCCCAGAAGGGACTCAACAGAGAACCGATGCACTTGTTGCACATCTGTGCTTTGGTATACAAATGAGCCACCCAGAGCTGCATTTCTATGCCCTTTGCATTTATGCAAAACAATATGCCAAGATTTGTTTTCCAGAGCTCTTAAAAACATTGCCTTAGAGACAATATGAACTACAACAGAAGGAGCGTTCCCATAAAGCTATGGTTTTCGGGACCTGCAATATTACTATTCAAAACAAGAGAGCTGGTATCTGTCTGCACAGAGTATAAGGACACCCCAACAGCTCTCTCATTCATTCCCGAAAGGATTCCCAATGGCTCCATAAACCATTTTTCCCAAGTTCATATTCACACTCTCTCCTATCTTCTTGTTCACTACGAACGCACACAGCACTACAGTAATGCTAAGGATCAGCAACTGTCACAAGGACTTATAGACAAATAGCTGAAAGGAAGGGGATCTGAGGTCAAGTCCGACTACCCCACAAAATGATGAATCAGCAGATTATCTGTTTGGGTTCCCCTTTTTTCTTTTGCCGCTTAGCCCCCATTCCTTGTGTGTGTGTGTGCAGCATATACTTATGGGTGACCTCATGTTGATGAGTCAGCAGTGTCTGGACTCTGCACATGAAGGCTGCTCCAGGAGATACAACAGGGTAATTCAGTCCACCCCATCCCTCCACTCTGTGAAACAACCACCCCCCCAGCCCGCCGCTCCTCAGCCCCACCCCAAAAACATTCGGCCCTTTCCTCCGTTCCCAGACACCTGATGAGTCAGCACGGCAAGCCCTTTTCACACTCGCAGACATGGCTGCACGTCCTCGGAGACACACATACACACACACACACACAGAGAGAGACTTTCGGTGTGCGGGGAAACAGCTTACCTCCCTCCCCGGCTACTTTCCCAGATGGTGAGAGCGCACTCAACGCTTAGGTCGTCCAAGAACAAGCGGGGAAGGGCCCCGACTTCTTCTTCTTCTTCTTCTTCTTTTTCTTTTTCTTCCCACCCCACCTCCGGAGAAGGAAAACTCAAACCATCACGGCGACCCCGGAAAAGAGAGAAGAGCCGGGCAGCGACGGCATTTCCCTCTCCCGCGACCTGCCGCCGCGGGCAACAAGGACGGCCACCCACGCCGCAGAGAGACCCCCCCTCCAGAAGGAAACGGGCAGGGAGCGGGAGGGCGAGGGAAACCCACCCACCTGTCAGCCGCGGAAAAAAGGAAAGCGGCGAGCGGAGGGAAAGACGAAGCGCGGCGGGTGAAATACGCTCCCCGCCAGGCTCACCTCGCCCTCTCAGCCTCGCCACCCTGACACGCGCACCCTCCGCCGAGCCCGCCAGAACATTCCCGGGTGGGAACAGCCGCGGGGGGGGGGAGAGAAAGAGAGAGCCGCGATCGCGCTCCCGGCAGCCCGAGTCCAGAGCAGGAGGCGCTTTTTTCCAAAAATAAACACCGCGGGAAGGAATGCCAACTCCAGAAGCCGATCGTCCGGGAAAGGAGCAGTCTTCCCGAATGGAACCCTAACACCCCTCACAACACACACACACACACACACACGCATCAATTCCCTTCTCCTCCTCCTCCTCCTCCTCCCTTTCCTTTCTTTCTTCCTCCCGCTCTTGCTGGGGAGGGGGGGTCACTAGCCTTCCTCCCCACCCCCCACCCTTCCAAGGGGGACCCGGGGCCCTGGGCAACCCCGTGCAAGCTCTCACCCTCCGCTCGGTGCCTCCGGAGGGGGGGGGGTCCGGGGCGGGGAGGGGGGAGGCCGCCACGCACACAGGGACTGAGGAGCCCGGGGTCCGCCGCTACCGCCGCTCACGGACGCGTCACGTGATGTTTGGGTCACGTGCCTCCATTCATGAAGCCGTTTCGGTGCAGCCGCCCCGAGCATTAAAGGGGGAGGCGCCCCCAAAAAAGGTTCCCTCCGCCCGGCTCTTCTCTTTCCCAACCCCCCGCCCACCCCTCAGAACAATAACAGCAGGCGGGAGCGCGGCTGGGAAGCTTGGTGGGAAAAACAAGTGGCTCACGTGCCAGGAGGGTGCGCGCACCCGGCCGCCCGCGCCCGCGCGCGCGCGCGGTGTTGGGGCGGGTCCAGAACGTCGAGGTTGAACCAGAAGGGCTGAGGTGGCGCGAGACGGAGCCGCGTTCCACGCGTAGCGCCCCCACTCAACCATTGTGAAGCGCTTGGTACCAGACAGCGAGTGGGGAGGCTGTGATTCGATCATCCTCGACTAGCCGGGCTGTACAACTCAAAAGAGTTTCCTAATTTTTTTTTTCGGAGGGGAAGTGGGCTACCCAACAGCTGTTTCCTGAAAGAAGCCAGTTTTGCGAAAAGATAGATGGAAGAAACAGAAAGTGACCCTGGTGGGTCGGTAGTTAAAAAAAATAAAGTCCAGATAGGTATCCCTCACCTTTCCCTTGTCCAGAGACTGAAAGAAGAATATTTGGAAACTTTTTGATTTTTTTAAAAAAACTATAAATGCGTATTTTTAGACGTAAAAATAAACCAGTTGGATGAAAGGAATTACACGACACTAAATTCAAATATTGCAACATCCCTGCTGAAGAATAAATATCTTTTTTTTAAAGCGTCACCAGAGCTTTCCTCTTTGAGATTGATTACCCCGTAGCGGGAACAAAAATTTTGCATAGGCGCGGAGGCACTGCTGTCTAAGGGTAGTCTGCATATTCTATAGTAGAGATGGACATGTGAGTTGCCAGTATTTCTCAACTACACTCCTCATCCTAGCGCTTTCCCGCAGATGCAGGGTCCGCTATTTCTCAACTAGATCCTTGGAAAAGGGGGGAAAGAAGGGGAGGGCAGAGACAAGTGCTGGTTGCTTACAAAGTCATTAGGAAGAGATATCCAACGGGGTACTTTGGTGCCAAAAGAGTCCCCTAAGGTTCCAGAGTGCAAGTCTTGTAGCTGATGCCTCCAAATTTGCAAGACATAGGCCATTTCTTCATTAGTGTTTTATAGCATTTTATAGCAACATCAGCCAATGTTGTGGCAATATAAAGCTTCATTACTGTTATTAGCACAGCAAATTTTGAATGAGGCTATAAATGACTTTAGAGAAAATGGTCTTATAATATCTTTTTAGACACTGTATGGAATGCCAGACAGTTTTTATTATCTAGCCAATAATAGTAAAATATGGTACCTGATCCACAATTTCATTGTAAATAAACTGCCTAAACCAACACTAAATTTTTCTAGACAAAAAATTTACTAGCTTACTAGAAAGTTTTCAAACCTTTTCATTCATAATATTTTCCTCAATAGTGCTTTCTTCATTTTGAGCAAATAAATCAACCATTTAATAGTTCTGCCGCTTATCAGAACCCTGTCGATCCAGGCTTGTGGTATTAAAAGGGAAGCAAGAGAGAGAAAATGTAAGCCTGCAGCTATGTTTGTGTGTTTTGTCTTTTTAGTCTGTGGGTGTTTACCGAAACTGTTAAGATGCTTTTGCTTCCTATTCCATTGGCCAATTCATAACATATGTCATATAGATTCAGTCACATACAGACTTTGGACAAGTATATTATTCCCAGAAACTGGCTTGGGACTAGGCATCTCTAAGAATAGCCTTTGCCATTTATCTGCATCCCTCCAAAGAGTCAGGTATGCTCAAGCAACTGAAATTCTAACAGCTCTTAATTTCTCTTTATTAATAAAACAAAAACTGTATTATGTGGGTGGAAATGCCTATAGCTACCTGCTAACCACCCAGGAAATTGAACTTGTCATAGCTGAATCACTAATTCACCTAGTTTATACATCATATGAGAATTGCTGTGAGATGCAAGTTATAAGTCTCATTTTTCATTTCATCAACAATGAGCCAGTATTTCTTGATGCCCACCTTCTGGTGCTGTCCCTCCTCTTTAAGGAGTACCTCCCTCCCCTTCCCACATTTGTGTTAAGTCTTTGCTGTGTCTACACTTTCTCAAAACTGCGGAAATTGTAAGGAGCAGTGAGGTCTGGGCTAAAAATGCTGATGCAGGAAAGTTGCACTCACAGCTGTTTCTTGCTTAGGTGCCTGGGAACAGGAATACTGCAGCACATTTCAAAGCTAGAGATAAGACAAAGTATAAACTATTGTATCTAGTAAAAAATATCAGATGACACTGGATCAGACTGATTTCATCTTCCAAAGCTGCCGTGGGAAAGCTTGTTTCCTTTGAGTTTCACACATATACTGTAAAAAACACTCTCTTGCAAAAGTCAGTGGAAGCCAAATTTAAGTAGAGCCAGAACAAAACTATGGTGATACAATGCTGCAATTTGATACGACCTTTATCCTTCAAAATTGTGTCTGTATAAATACAGTAAGCTGTTAATGGTTAGTATAGCAAAGTCAGGAGAACAGTAAGCAATTATGGCTATTCAGGTTTTAAAAGCCTGAAGGAACTGATTGTCAGATATAAAAAAGGAGATGTCTTGAATGTATGAAACTCTGGCCCTTGTTAAACAGAGCAACTATAGAACTGTAGCTATGAAATGGGCTCCAACACAAATTGTTACCATCTAGATTTGTCAAGATTACCAATGACTGTCAACTATGGAGAAACAGAGTCTGATACAGAGTACAGTAATTAGGGGCAAACCACAGACCTGTTCTCTTGTTGGAACTATGAAGCCTACCTAGGTTGCTAATTTAACTTCCATTGTGAGGAAAAAGTTCACATAAATAGCATTTCTGAGTTACCAATGGTTCTAGTATTAAATACTAGCTTCTACTGTTAATATCTAATATAGCCAGTTTCTCTGATATAACACATTTTTTAATATCTTGCAAAGTATTAATAGATTGTAATTTTCTAGATAATTCATTTTTATTAACTATAGATATGGCCTGTCTTAAATGTTTTGGATACACACATACCACATATGATAATTTATTGAAGTGGACACCCAACATGTCTACAACTCTCTTAATGTTTGCTTAGTATCCTACCTCATCTTTCAAAATTATTTCATTTACAAACATACAATGGGTTCATAGCTGCCGCATAGCAAAGTACCATCACTCATCACCATCTTTATTTCCAAATATGTAGTTGTATCTATATAAACATCGTAGAAATTCTTAGAAGATAGGAGTATGGACAGATAGTGCTTCATGTGGAAATGTGCCCACATCCTCCAGGGCTGGGGGTGAAGGCAGGAGCATAAAAGATAATAGATAATAGAAAGCATTGGGAATGGGAGCAGAAGTTTGCCCTTTGAAAAAAGTGGGTTTGGGAATATTTTGACAATGTCATCCCTCAACAACTGTATTATGGTAGCTCCATGTCCCATTTCATAATTATAAATGTATGTTAGCTCAAACTATGAACCATTCCCGATGCATAGGTTTCCTCAGTCTTTATCATGCTCTAGTCATGAACACGTTCTGAATACACAACCCCTGAAAAATTGGTTTTTTGTCTCTTGTCATTCTGCATTGTTTTCATTTTTTTTGTTTTCTACATAATGGTGAAGGACAATATTTCAATGGATTGTAGATTAAAAGCCTCTTGAACAATGCTAATAACCTTTATGTGATTAAAAAACAAAACCAGAATCTGTATTATAATTGAAACTTACCACTAAAGGTCACATTAGATACACAGGTATCTTTGTCTGCTTTCCTTGTAGTTTGTATTTTATATCAAAAGCAGCCATCAGATGAAATAACAGGTGGGAATTGGTGTAGAGTTGTAATTGCAGGAATGTTCCAATCTCAGATGGCAAACCTCAGATAAAGAATGTTTCCAAGCAAATACAACTCAGGTAAACAAAGTCACTAATCTAAAGGAGGATTAGAGAGAGGAAGTAAACATATGTTAGACTTTAATTAGAGATAATTAATTGTATGGATTACTGTGCTAAACAATAAAAAAGTTAAGCAGTAACCAAAGTAAACCAGTGATGGAGGATAACTAAAAATGTGTATAAATGCAAGACTAGACTCCAATAAAGATCATCATGATTCAGTTGTTCATGATCAAACAACTCGACTGCCTCGTCATTACAACAAATTGGAGAGATCAGAGACTGGTAAACCCTTTAATTCCAAGCTGTTTCTTTTTTTTCCTGGAAGAATAGGTAACCCTGTCATAATAAAATTTCTCCAATCAGAAAAGGAAAAAGTAAAGAAATTCAACTCCTGTTGGACTTCTCTTTCATTTAAAAAATTAAGAGT